CATTACAAATCTACAGTCCCAATGTTTTGGAATTTATAACACAAAACCTGTACTAGCTAGATGTATTGATTTTTCAGAGCAAGGTGTGCCTCTAAATTCTGCTCAGAGTTGCTAGGGTTACTGGGGCTCAACTTTAGGATCACGATGCAATTAGTTCTGGAAAACAGGACAATCACATTCCAAAGATGTATCCTGTGGTAGTCCTCTGTGATATTAATAACTCACTAACATGGGGAAATGCAACATCCTAACTTATTAAGGGTCTGGGTCCCACCTCACCAATCAATTTTATTTCTCCCTCTTTAGTCTAACTGTAGTGCTTTGGCTATCTGAGAAGTTTAGCCAACCAACTTTTTCCTAATGTATAAATTTCTTTTTTGATCACCTGAATGTGATTCTTACTTAGCACAAGCAAGTATCTACTGCAATTATTTACATATTTATATTGAGTATATAACACATAAGTTTTATTTTTTATTTTTTAATGAACATAGAGACATTCCCCCCAGAAAGTCAAATAGCTCTTACTTTATTGGCTTTTAAGAAGACTATTAAAATTTGGCTGATTAGCAGGCCTTGGCAGTTGGGGTATTGTAAGATCATTAAGATATATATTTTAAATTACTATAATAAATACTTCCAGTATTTATGCACATTAATATGCTTCTGATTTTATAACTATTCATATGTTTGAATCTAATTTACAAATGTCAGGTATATATGCCTCTTGGACTCAATAGTAATTAAAATGACCTATAAGCCCAGTAAAATAAACATTTCCACCTGATTATTCAGATAGAATAATATTAGCAGTAGCAGCTGAGATAGTAACCTAGTCACAATGCATTTCATGCAGAACAAGACAAATATTTTCTGTTATAAGAAGGTCACCTCTAATATTGCTACCATATTACAGAATCTTATTATTAGCTAAATATGCACAAATTTGTATGGATGATGCAAAAGATACTAGAATGAGGGGGAAGCACATGTTTTTGCAATCATTTTTTTAAAATCTGCCCAATTGAATAAGGCACTTTAAAAAAAGAATTAAACATTTCCTATTCTTTTAATTACTTGTATTATGAAAATATACCTGATATGAAGCAGCAGAGGCTTGAGGGACATTGAAGCGGACTAACATTAAACAACAGAGAACATTGGCAAGAACCTGAAATGAATCTATCATAAGCATTATAGTCCTCTATACCTGGTTTGATTCAATTCTCTGATTCAACCATACATTTCCTTGCAAATTCCTATATTGTTTAATCTACCACATCCACTTTCCTGATGTAATGAAAGCCAGCATTTGTCAAGGTTGTAATCCTAAACAAAATTACAGAATCAGAAACTGCACTGAACTTATTAACATGAATCTCAGAAAGCATGCACAGGATTGTGCTGTAAATCTAGCTAGAACCTGAAAAAGTTAGAAATGGCTAACTGTGGCAATAGTTTCCCATCTGAAGCTCTCCGGGCTAAATTGACAGAACCACTCCCAATATTTTCAGATATTTTTAGGATTATTGGGGAGTCATCTTGACAGCTGTTGTGGAATCCCGAGATGCTGAGATTAAAAGAAAAAGAAAGATTCTATTTCATGGTTGGGGAGAAAAGCCAAGGGAGAGAAATGTTAAGTGGTATTATTAGGTGATATCTGGTAACCTTATGTTCTCTTTATTTGTTCCTATCCCCATTTCTGCCTGTTTTTGCCACTTATCAAATATTATTTTCCAAGAGTCATTTTTCTATCACCAGCCCGCTTGCAGAAAGCTGTTGGAATTATAAAGTAACCTAACCATGTTCCCAAAATGAACCTGCCACTATATTTGCAAAACCTATAATGAAATGAGCAAGTTAAACAAATTAGTGCAATCTAGCAATATTTCTGTCAGCTACAAACAATGTTTCAGATTTGAAAGTACAGTATTTAGGAAGTAACTTTAAGAGCAGCTGGAAGCAAAGGTTTGGTGAATATGTAACAATTTTATCCGGGTGTTAGTTGAATTCTGAGCGGATTTGCATGTTTTCCCTCAGAAGGTAACTGCCTTTGGAAACAGTTACTGTTCAACACAAAATCACAAAAAAGCGTAAATAGTTTTATGACAATATTCTACAGATGAAGAAAGCAATCACTTTTAAAGAATGAATCCAATTTTGCAAGAAAACATATTCATTATATTAAGCTGAATGTTTAGACATGAGACCATCTTGTACTTTTCCCCATGAATCCATCAGAATTTCTCCCCCTGCTCTCCTCATTCTTATAGACATACTGGCAAAACTGACTTGCAAGTTGTATGCTTTGGTGAGATCATGGGTACTATTCAGATAACAACCATTTTTACTCCTACAAGTAGTTATTTTTCCACACTCACACTTAGTAAAGTGTTTGCTCTTAAACACAGTATGGATGGTTTTAAGTGGATCTCCCAGATCTATAAATTTTACATCAAATACTGTATTTTTGTGTTTGTTTTCACATAATTTAAGTTAACTAGGTTGCATTGTAAATGGACTGACAGATGATATTGTTCTCGGACAGCTCTGTTATCCTGGCACTCAAAATTTACCACTTTGTAGGCAGCTAGTAAACACTGCTCCTCATGGCAATACTTATGTTTCAGCAGGCTGAACCAATTGGCACATTTCCATATCTAATAAATAGAAAGGGATGTTGCTGTTCTACAATGAAAAGAAACATTCCATATCTACAAGACCACTGTGACAGCAATGCCTTTGTTTTTATGTATAGATAGATTTTGGCCATAGATCTCATCCTTGTCTTTTGGATAGAAACAACCATAACACAGGCCTGGAAACCAAATAACAACCATTCCATTAGTATTTTGCATAGATTGGAATGTTTCATCACTTAGTTGTAGCCATCAATAATTGCTCGTTTTATTTCAGCTCTATCCAATAATACTTTCTTGCCACTGCTTAGCTTTGTATTTAGGATGTGCATCAGTTGACAACTTTATGAGATTTATACCCATTTACTGAAATACAGGATCAAAGGAAAAAATCTTAGCTTCACATGATCGCTTGTTAAAGTGATTAGTTTCATGATATAATAGAATTGGCACTGAAGTACCTCAATAATGGTCAGACTATATACCTTTGGAAAGTTTATAAGAATGGTGTGACAATCATGGTCTTTTCCTATGGCTTTCCTGTAGCATCAAATAGTCCCAGATTTTGAGTTAAGGCAGGTTTTAAGGAACTGAGGGTTCCAAAGGAAAAAGTAAAGAGAATCCTCAAAAGCAATCTGGAGTATGAAACATTAGGTATAATTAGCTTAAACATGCCTTCCCAACAAGATGCTCCCCAGATGTCAGGATTTAAAACTCTCTCTATTCACATCCAGCATATAGTTTGGCTCAATACATCTGGAAGGCACCAGTTTGAGAAGACTTGCTTGTACAATTATCTACAACTGCAGAAACGAGGAAAGATTTTGGAGAGCTACTGCCAGTCTGAATGAGTGGCAGAAGTGATAAAGTGTGGCTACAGGAAGAGGGTAGGAATTGTTGGAACCTCATGACCTTGAATCGGATATCCTGCTGGATCTGCCAGTTACTCCTCAATGAAATTTGCTCATATTGTTAGCTCAAAATGTCTTGAGCCACCTACTCTTTAATATGTGGTTGTCTAACAGGTTTTTAAAAATCTGCTGTCTTTTTCCTGTATTTATTCTATTGCTTCTGGACCACATATCAACACACAATCAACACACAGTAAAGTGATATTCTGAAATGTTCTGCCAAGTAACACGGAACATTCATTCCAGGATGACACAACCAACCAGCAATTAAACAAGTAGTTAAACACTCTCTTGCATTTGGTAAATCATCACCTGTTGTTACACAGTTCAAACCTCATAGTTGAGGTCCCTCACATAAGATAAAATTCCCTGCTTTTCTTTCCTGGAGTAGAAAAGTGTTCTGCCAAATCTCTCCAAATAACTCCTCTCACTTTTCAAATATCAAAATTCATTTGCACAAGTGAGCACTGTAATGACAAATGCAGACCAGTACTACAGACACCCACTCAAAATGCAGAACAGCACTATAGGCACCCACTCCCCCTAAAATGATCAAATCTAAAGAACTGCCCTGAAAAATTTCCCTTAAGATGTCAGGGATTACTACAGCTGCAAGCAAAACTGAAGAAAGTTTCAACTAACAGATTTTAATTTATACTTTGTATTTGACTGATATCCATAACTTAGGCAAGTGAAAAAATAAACTCCAATATCCAATAACTTATTGGAAGATTGTCCATGGCTTGCTTCATTTACTGAAGTGAATGGCTACTATGTATATACATCTCTTCCAACGTTCTTGTGGAATTTTGTTTGTGAGCAGCAACATCCTATGCATTGCAATGGGGAATAGGGCAACAATCTCTGACCTACTTCTACAGTCCTAGATATTTATGAACTAGGTACATTTTTTCAGTCAACCAACAAGGTCTAGAAAACTGCAGCATACAATATTATCTGAGAGTAAGCAATATTAGCTCATTTGAACAAAATTGCAATATGCATACTTGTAATAAATTCAGTAAATTCAAAAGCATTATATTGGAACTAGTGCTTAGTAACATATTTCTAATAGAGTAACTTTTTACGTTTTGGATTTTGCTTCTAAAATCTGAAACCCACCTGTCCTCAAACTTGAACTTTACTACTTTTACATTCCTGACATTAATCCTTCTATGAATGACATCACCATGGAAAACCTGGCTCCAGTCTTTCTTCTTCATTCAGTAGGTTTAAGTAGATCCTAGCAGTGATTTGTTAGACTATCGTGAATATGATAACAGAAACTGGGAAATAAGTTGTTTCAAATGTTCAAGGACACATGACAGTTATGTATGAACCCACTGCATTTTCTACAGGGTTCCATATTCTTGCCATTCCTTCACCATAGGCAATACACACCATAATATATATATAGATGGTCTCCAGACAATCTTCCCCACCAGGTACCTTTTGATTATGTTGAAACTACAAGAATTCTCAGGTTGGCTCAAAATTCTGGGTCTGAAAGGACACCCAACTGGGAAAGGCTGACTTAAGATCTGAAATAATTCTATCTCTATACCCTTCTTTGTTTAAATCCCATTCTTGTTTCATACATAAGCAAAAAAACCCTCAATTTATACCCTTTTACCTACGTAACAGCACTTTTCTTATTCTCTCTGTCTTGTGCCCATACTTAAGCAGATATTTTCTTCTCCTTTCTCTCCTTCAATTCAAAAACCCATTTCAGTTCCTTTGTGAGATATAGGGTTGTCTTAATAACTCACAAAGAGAACAATACATGTTTGTCCATCATTACTATTTTCTTTAAATTTGTAATTGTGGGAAGAGGAATGTGAATTGAATTAGGAACTGCATCCAAATCTGATTTTCATAAAGGTGCATTTTGGAAAAGAAGCCTCTTTGGAATTCCAATTACACAAATTCCTAATTAATAGAATTCTGTTTAAAATGACAGATACTTTTTAGTTTACAGATATTTTGAATGCATACTTTTGACTTTACCACATGACCATCTGGACAAGTGAGATTGTGCTTCTAGATATACTATGAGTTAGAAAGATTGGTGCATTGTGGGAGAATCAGACAATAGGAAAAGTTATTTGCAAGTATAATTGAATTAATGACATAAGTGGAAATCTCAAACAAACAAATTCCATTTCAAACAGTTCAAAGATTCTGCCTTTCCTTTGTTCAGAATACAGCCCTGTAAAGTTACCTGCCCTCCCCAATTTTCTTTGTACAGCTATGGTCTACAATTCCCCATCCAAACAACCTTTGGAGTTTTTCTAGTAAGGGGCAAAAACAATGGGGCCTGTAGCCGTTCGCACAGGGCCTGGGGGAGATCGAAAAAGTGCTGGTCCAAAGATGGGTGCTTGGAAGAGGGTAGCAGCAGCTGGTCGGAGAGTTAATGGGCTGGGCAAAGTACACACAGTGGCGGATGCCAGGGGACTTGGCAGGAACCGGGCAGCCAAGGTCTTCGTAAGATGCTTCTGCAGAGCCACTTTGGACTGTGAAGAGTGAGAATGAGGGACAGGGAAGAAGCACAAAGAGATAGATATGGTACATGAGCAAAGCAGCTTCAAAAGACAAGGGGAACATAGAGAAGAGTTGCTTTAATACTGCAGTAAATAGTTTAAACCAGGGGCTTCAGTATCAAAACTTATTTGACAGCCTGATTCAGGTCTGAAGTAGGTGAATTAATAGTACTTTATGAATACTATAAATGCAAATACTATAAATAAGAATGGCTAATATGTAGCCTTCCAAATGTTGCTCAATATATTTCAACAATACAATGAATGGTGAAGAATGCTGTGAATTATATTTTCACATCATCTGGAGAGCCACATATTCTCTATCCTTGGCTGACAGTAATACCGTATGACTTTATTGTGACAAAAATTCTTTTACTTTCAAAGTAGGATGAAGTTTAAAAGAATATAGTGAGTTGCCCTATTGAATCAGCTCAAATATCCATCTATTGCCCACAGTGAAGAGGCCAGGTGTAGTGGGTGGGTGTGTTTGTGTGTATTTATGTGTGCACGTATATGTGCAGGAGATTAAGGCTGTCGTATAGCTAGATAAGCGAAAAGCTTCTCCTTCCAACTGTAGCTTTCCTTATCCTTTTAAAATGGCTTTTCCTATTAGGAATATAAAGCCCATCCTTTTTTTCTTAAAAAAAGGGGAGGGCTATAAGGTGAATCTACCTCTTGTTGGTGCTCAACAGCTCCTGGAGGGCTTTTCATATATACATAAAACAGTGGTAAATCTATCCCTGTATTTGCCCAATACTTTTTAAACAGCTATCTGTGTCACAGCTACTGTAACAGTCCTGCTACAATTACTTCCACTAAATTAATTATGCACTACAAGTAGATGCATAAAAAGAAAAGGAATACTGGGAATTGTAACCTCTTGATCTGATCTGTCCCACTGCTTTTCTTGTTTCCTCTCATGCAAGCAGCTGTTTCTCACTCTAGTTTCCGAATGTTGCTGAGAGTAGCACTATCTGTACTTTTGTTGTAGGATGAGACAATTTAACATTCAGACACAATTCTCCACTGAGTGGGTGACTGGATTTTGAAGAATAATTAAGACACCAGGGGAATTTCCTTATTGTCCCTCACATTTTCCATACACCCCAGAGTTACCTGGCACCTTCTGTGACAAATACCTTGAGAATACTCACTGCCAGGGCAGTATTCTTCTGCAGTTTGCTGTACGGGCTGTATTTGGGCTTTGGTGGCTTCCCTGCAAGCCTGTCTTTGTGACGTCTACTGCTCATATGCTGTAGATGAAAAAAACAAAAGCTCCCACCATTATCTATGTATAAAAGCAACTTGATATCCTACTGTCACCTTTAGTAAACTTTCCAATGACAGTTCTTTAGACTATTCTATGTTTTTATTTGATGAAGGAACTGGAAAACGTGTCTTATGTTGAAATTATGTTCTGCTTAAGCTTTGGACCAACAGGGTCATGATGACAAGCTTTTAATATTGCTTTGACTTCAGGTTTCTGGTATTTTTGACATTTTGCTCTGACACTTTTGTCTCCTGATAGATGCTACTCTATCTTTGTGGTGAGAACTGTGTATATATCTGTCTTTGAATCTTTTACTTAATAAGATAAATGCAGAACAGGATAATTAACTTTAGGCCTATTTCAAAGCTCGTTCAAAATGCTCTATTTAAATTTAAAGTGAGTCCTCCTATTTTGTACTTCCTTTCTTTTCTGTTTATCTAGACATTACTTGCCTATATCTTGCTGGAAACAAATATTGGATAAAATAATTGTGCAGAGACCAAAAATTGGACAAGGGAAACACAAATTAGTTAACTGTTTAGATTTTAATTATATCTATATTCCTTATGTTGTTTATTACTATTAAGATAAGGTTTTAAAACAGGGAAGCACAAAATAAGAGGCTAGCAGAAAGCGATTTATTGGTACATTTTCTTGCTTATGGCAAAAAACTTCAAGATGGCACCCAAAATGTCAATTTCTAGAGTGCATGCTTTCCTGAGTGGCTGAAATGGGATATTTCAAACACTCTTATATCAGCTTAGCCTACCAAAAGGTTGAAGATTGCCAGAGAGGTTCTTGTGCCTGTTTCTGCTGTATTTATCTGGAAAAGATAATCTTCTCAGCTGCACTCAGCCTCTTGAATGGTCTCCAACCCTTTTCCATGACGTTTCCTTACTTAATCAAATAATTCCTTTTCAAATATTCTCCTGTTCTACAAAAGTGCAAATGCTTCCTTCTAACAGTAAGTTTTCTCTTTTTGCTGGTTATTTTTAAATTCTGTTCCTGTGCTGCTGCTTTTTAAAAAGTGTCTGAAGAATTAAGTTGCTATTTACTCTGTGTGTGTATGAAATTGTAGTTATTAGAGATGCTACTAATACAGTAAAATCTCCCCACTGGGGGAGGGGTGTCTATTATTCCTCAGGGGTGATTAAATTGCAAATTACATCATTTATGGTGATTTGTGTCATTATGTCATTATGCAAACGACACACTTTGACGTGGATGTCATTATTTGGGTAATGATGTTATTACACAAATGACGTAAATAAATGCAAATGATGTAATTTTCACTATTAGTATATTCAGATCATTATGCAAATAAGGTAAATCAACATGATGGCATGAAATTAATGTAAATGTAATGTAAATGTAACATTTAGCATGGACTGCTTTGGATTGAAAAGATTTGTCTGTTATTTCAGGAAGTTGTTCAGACAGAAATGTTGCCCAATTACATCTGATGTCCATTAAATGGGGGTAAGTGGAATAAAAGGTTCTCTGTATCATTGTTCTTGGTGTGCTGCTGATTTTTAGCCTTCTTGTTACTACTCAAGTTGCACACAGTATTTGCAATTAATTAATCAATTAGATACTATATAAAGAAGCACTTAACTCTGATCATTCTCTTGTCATTGGAAAAGCCATTTGTGTAGGATTTTCTGGAAGGCAAGTATTATATAAACTTCAAATCTGATGAGAATGGAAAACTGCCTAGGACAATATTTGGATCAGAGGAATTTAAGGTAGAGAAAGATATGAGCAGCTGGCCTTCCATGTTCCTTTTTCACTCTGGCTGCCCCTTAAGATGTGATTTTGTTTATTTTACAAGAACTGTTGGGAAGATGCTTCAGGTATCTTAATGCAATCTTTGCTTTAGCCTGCAATTCAGAATAGTAAAATTTCTGCTTGCAATGTAACTTCCTCTCTTAACTTCATTAAATATCTTAATAGATATTTAATGAAAGGTCTAAGCTGAAATTTGGGAGTGGAAGTAGGGTGGAAAGATTAATGCTCTATTCCCCTTTTTATTTCCATCTTAAAATGCTTCCTTCAAAAATATCCAAAATTCAGCATGCTCCTCATTACAGTCCTCCAGACAATCAGAAAAGTGTTTAGATTGATCTGCTTACCTGTTTGAGTTGTGTTTCTGAGTTGACAAAGATCTCGCACACCTGGCATTGGAAGGCCTTATTCTGAATGTTGAGGCTGCCCTTGCTGCCGATCCGTTTGGGCTTGTGTCCTACTCGAGAGAGAACCTTCCCTCGGCTTCGCCTTGGCAAAACTGTTTGCCCTTCCAGCATCAATTTGTGCTTTGCTCCTGGGAGTGGGGAAGAGAAGATGAGCCCGGAACAAAAAAGGGAAACTTGCTTCTTGCACTTTGATAAGCAGGAAGTGGTCTAAGAGGCAGACATGGCAGTTATCAATAGAATGGGGCAATTCCATGATGCCAGAATCAAGTTGGCTATATGGAAATCATGGGGCAGGTTTCTGACACAACATCTGCATTTTATATTTAATTTTTTGTTCTTGTTTCCTTGTTAAATGCACTTTTTATACATCTTAATATATTGTTATATTTAATATACTATTATTATATAATATTTGGGGAGCGATAGTGGTTAAAGCAACAGGCTAGAACAGTGGTATAAGTTTATGTATTGTTACAATAATCTATTTTTTAAAAAGGTTTTATGATCTTATCTTGCCTTTCTGTCAATTACACCATTTAGATATAACTTTTGTATTTTATATTTTGCTACTATTAGGTAAAATAGAGATAGCAAGTAAGGCAAGGTCAGATCCCAAATGAATTGATTTTTCTTTATTTTTAACTATCCTTATCATTGTAATTCCTTGTTTTGCCTGAAAACATACGACATAACAAAATGACAGCCTTAAAAATTAAGAGTCAAAATAAAACAGTTCACTATGTTACAGACAGAAGATTCCACAATTTTAACACAACAGTACTAAATAAAATCCAAAAGTTTTATAAAAACAAGCAGGTTCTCAAGTTCATTAACATTCTTTATAAAGTTAGTCTAATCTATTTTAGCTTAATGTACTCCAAGTGTATTGAACTACACTGTCAGGCATGTTAAGCAACCATCAGATCAGGGAAGATAAGAATAGAAACGAAAATAATTGGAAGATGATGAAGGTAGGAGAAAATAAAATTTTTACTAAGCAAAATGGAAAGTCACGGGTACTTACATGTATGGTATTCGGCTTTGTTCGGGTATTTTCGCATGTCATTATAGTTGTGCTTTTAAAGTTGTAGCAACGTTTCAGCAGAATCTCATCTGCCATCATCAGGCTTCTGTATTGCGTTCATCTGTACAGTGTTCGACGAACCCAATACAGAAGCCTGATGATGGCAGATGAGATTCTGCCGAAACGTTGCTACAACTTTAAAAGCACAACTACAATGACGTGGGAAAATACCCGAGCAAAGCTGAATACCATCGGCAGAATCTCATCTGCCATCATCAGGCTTCTGTATTGTGTCCGTCTGTGAGTCAGGCCCCCACAGTTGTTTCAGTTTTAAATGTAAGTACCCGTGAAAACTTAAGAAAACACACACACACACACACGTGTGTGTGTGTGTGTGTATGTATGTATGTATGTATGTAAAATAAAGGAAATATTTCAGCTTTTTGATTTCTTAATTGGCTTGCTGCAAAAAGATCTTACAATACACCATATAAGGATAGAAAAATACAGTTGTTCTTTTTTTGAGAACAGAAAAGAATATGGATAGAACTTGGAATCCCAGTTCTTTTCCAGAAATATGCAATCAGCGGACTACAAATACATTAGTAGCAAACCATACCAATTTGTCCAATCATTTTTGAATTCAGAAAGCAAAGAGTTTGTAAAACTCTCAAGCTTTTCATCTTACTCAAGTGACAAAGTAGAGTTATTGTAAAATCTGGCAGGCAGTATCTGTAAATGACTCCTGGTTTCACCATACCTGCTTCTCATGGCTTTCATACTACTGTATCTCTTCTATTCTATGGATAGCCTATTATCATGTCTGCTGAAAGAATGCTAAAATAAAACATCTACGAATGAACTAAACACATATTTATTCATTGTTAGGTATTGGTTAAGAATCCCCAAAGTCAGAAATGTATGCTTTTAGCACAAAATTTAGTTAACTGACGCAAAAATCTGTTCATTGGGAATAAAAATAGATTAATAGGCTACCTTTTCTAAGTGGCAGCCTCCACACATATTGAGAATTCAGGGAGTTCCAATCCCAGATCTGAAGGATGCCAGATTGGGGAAGTTTTCTTTATGTTTTTTGTCAGCTTCTGTTACTAAAGTCTATTAATATCAATGAGGCAAGATGGTGTACTTTTGGTAGCATTCAACGTTTTCTGTTGAGGAAGAGGAGTAACTTATCCCTCTTACTGCTACAATGGAACTACCTTGATCCAGTATCACTACCTAGACAAATGCTTTTGGGAGGTGAAATGAACAGATATATTGGAGTGGGCAAGAAGGCCAATAATGAAAACAGTGCTGCACCACTGTGATGCAAGTTTTCCCCCTTTTGTATATGTATCATGATGATGCATGCATATACAAAAGGTGTGAAGTTTGCATTGTGACTCTGATTTCATCATTTTGCCAAAAGCCTTGCATCCTGTAGATGCCTCTGAAAGTGAATTATTATGAGCTACATGCAATAGGCTCCAGATGTCATATTTTTTTACAGCAGTGGTAGACACATTATAGGTCTAACTTGGCCTTTTATGGGGTAGCTGGAGAAAACCCACATGAAGGCTCCTTACCAGAATTATGAGCCTCCAACTGAGAGGCAGAGTTAACTGTTACTTTGCAAGTGGGACAGTACAAGTGCTGCTTGATTTTCTTTCCCTCTTTCTCCACCTCTGCTGCTGAGCCGGCGGTTCCTCCAGATTCAGTTGCTGGCACCTCCATACCAGCTGCTGCTGCTGGTCTCACACTTGCACTATCTGGAGCAACTTCCAAGGGCTCTGAAACTGATGGGGGAACCAGGGACAGGACGCCAGTAGATATCTTGGCTGGTAATTCTTCTGTCGGGGACATCAGCATGAGGTTGCAATGTTCTGCCATTGGTTGGCTTAATCCTAGCAAGCTACTGGGTTGTGCTAATAAAAAAGGAAGACATTTATTTTCCTCTGAATCGTGGTTTTAAGATTAACTAGCCTTAAAGATAACTAGCATTTGCTTCCATTATAGTGGCATCTCAGCTAAGATTATTCTTCTGCTACATAACAGAAGAGGTCAATTACAGGAAAATATGGAAATTTCCCCAAACTAAAATCTACCTAGAAGAATGCCTCTTCCTAGATAAGCTTGCCTCTTACCTCTGCTGCTGCTGCTGCTGCTGGTGTCTCTGCTGATATCTAGTGCAGCTTCAAAATTAGCCATTTTTTCTTGGCTGCTGCTGCTATTGTCAGCTGTCTTGTGCTTATTTTTCACTGCTTCAATGGCTTTGAGTCTCCGAGCATGCTTGTGGCCTCTGTAATGTGCCTCAGCTTGATTCTGAGAGAGATAAACGGGAGGGGAGTGTTGAGTGATGGAGAAGAGTATTAAGGCCATTCCATATTATGGAAGATCAAAGAGAGACTATAATGCAAAATGATTTGCAAAGCCCATTTTTCTAGTTGGTGGAGAGCACTTTGAAGCCTGGTTTATCTTCCTGCTGCAGCAGCAGATGACATTTTTTTTCAACTACCTTGCTATTTCCCCCCAGTTTTCTCCATTTCCTTTTTTTCAGTATTGAGGAGCAGCACAGAAATAATCTTTCTGTGTACATCTTCCTCCCATCTGTGCTTTTGGAAAAAGCTATATAGATAGGCAGGCCAAGTGATAGACCGTGAGTGTACAAGTGAAGTGGATCTTTTAAGAATATGAGGATAAAAACGTGGTTTAATGCATTAACTAAACATCTCCCACCAAAACAAAAAACACATGAAAAGCAGAGCAAGAGGGAATTTTCTTTTTGGGCATTGAGCACTTCTATTTCTTTCTTCAGCCATTATGCAAACTAATGTAACACCCTCATTTCAATTCAGATTGGACTTAAATTCACATGAATTTGCCAGAGAACCATTCATTGTAGTGAGAATCAGGAAAACTGCCTTTGACTGCTAAGTACACAGGCTTTTGGGCACAGAGGTCTTTTGTAAGTCTTTTGTATTTTCTTTAAAAAAATATTTTATCAGCAGTGAACAGGCAGAGGACATTAACACATACTTCAGTTTATTCATCCTTTTCTCTGAAAAGCTGAAGGGCCTGGTTATAGGAAAGCACAAAATGTAAACTCACACGTAAATACAGAACTGGCATGGCTGCCTAGGAATATAGACTTCATATTAGCTCTGCATTCCAGGAAGGGACAATAGTTGTCATTTATGTCCTTCTCTTCCCCTCTACTTCAAGTGAATATGTTTAGCTATATACTATTTTATTTTGTGTTGCAAAACTGCCTGCTGCATATTTTTTTTCTGAAGCTGCATATTTTAATTTTCTTTCTTTCTTTCTTTTTTGCCCAAAAGCGATTTTTGAAACAAGAAATGGGCTGCATTTAATCAGGGGCAACGTGTCTTATCTCCATTTCACCAGGCAATGAACAATGCCAGGAATTGAATTATATGGATGCACAGCATGAGGCAGGGAGGGAGCGAAAGTCATCAGATGAAACAGGAGCCTGACGGCAAAGGGGTGTGGGTATATGTGCATGTGTGTGTACATGTACAAAATGAAAACAGAGGGCGTAATGCTTTGCTAGAGGGCCCACACAGTTCAAATGGGATAGTGCTGAAAGTATGGACAGGCTTTTATTGGGACAAAGAAGCATCACTTGATATATTTGTTCTCCTGGCATCTAGATATTCCCTTGGTTAGTTTACCTGTAACCAGTCCAAAATAAGCCTAGTAAGCCCTTAGATGCTTCTGTTTCATAGGCCCTTTGGTGGATGCCTTTCTGCTTGCATATTAATTTCTATGGGTAGAGGAGTGATCAAATTATCTTGAATAGTTTTTTTTAGAAAGTACAGGAAATATATGACATTAAGATTTGTATTAATCAAGGAACATTACTCTATTGGTTGGTTCTAATAAATCTATGTAAACAAATTAATTCTGCCACCTTTAGTACTATTTAGAACTATGCTACATTGAATGAGTGAATTTAGATAGTGTTTTAGAAAAGCGTGGAATCAAAAAAAAATCTGCCTTGGAATTTTTTTTGGGTTACAGCTTTCATTAAAAAAAAAAAAAAAAAAACGTCCCTGGGCACAATGCCGAACTGCACCAACTGGACAATACGGGCTGCGTACTGCAGTCCCTTCTTTTGGCCAGATTCAAGTAACGCACAGGCTGAAAACCAATGGAATGGGTCTCCCAGATAAAACACTATTCTTGAATGCAGAATAAAGAACACCAAAGTATGGTTTCCCTTTGCAAGCCCTTAAGAGTCTGCTTCTCTTCTCATGCCACCTCAAAAAAAGGAAATAAACACAGGGGTGGAAGGTGGTAGTGCAGTAAGAGAAGATTATTTCCTGAAAAAAATTATATCTGTTTTTTTCTCAAAAGAAATGAAAGAATTGACATTCAATGAACTTGCAGGCATTACACAATATACAACATTTTATGGCTTATATGCAAGCAAAGTATCGTGCTGATTCTTCTTTTTTTATTGTGGCAGTAGACCCTTTCAATGAGGGAGCATGGTGAACAAACCAAGAGTCTTTATCAATAGTTTAATAAGTCATCCAACAGTAGGATTCTAACTTGTTCCTCTTGCAACATTTTAGAAGAAGAAACTTAGAAGAAGCACGAGATCTTGATAGTGCATTAAACAATACCTTCATAGCACCATCTGCAATGGATGGTCTTTCTCTGATGAGCCTTGTTAATATGACTTGCCATGCTTTGCGCTCCGTGAATCTAAGGGAACCATAAATCAGGCCTACACCAACTGAAGTCTTCCCTTTGCCAAAGACTACCACAAATTCAGCTTTAAGACAGTTTCAGCCTGGGACTGTAGAATATGGAAGGCATTACTAATCATGACTTTCTTCACAAGTAATTAAATTAGGTGCCTTGAACACTAAAATAGTATGTGAATTTTTGTGCACTCATAAGCAAAATCGACATAGTTATCTATATTGTAGTTCTCCTCTTTCTTTTCCATTCCCATCTGCCTGATCCTAATGTTTCATGGATGTAGCTTACCGCAGAGTTGAATCTCAGATGACAAATATTACAAGAGATGAACTGCTTCTTCTTAAGTGGATTGGGTACACCAAAGGTATGGTTGATTACTGCCTTTTGTACTGGATCCATCTAGAGAGGGGAAGGATGTGAAGATAAATGGAGCCAAGTTAGCTGGTGCTCTGAGCATGTAAAATTGTGTTTGTGCTTTTCCAAAACTGCCTTCATAGCACCATAGAACATTTGCTTGTTTGTTGAGGAAATGTCCTTATCTGTCAGATTTGGGTCAGGCATATAAAACTCTGCTCCTCCAAAACCTCAGTCCTTAGTCAGGAAGTAGCTAAAAATAGAATTTGATACAACTAGATAGGTCAAATATTATAGACACAAGGCAGGCCTTGCTGCAGAACACAAAAATCAAGCCCGTATGCTGGCTCTGAGGGACAGGGACGTTCTCTGATCTGAATGACACTAGTTACTTCTTCTCCAGCTTCAGCTGAATATGGCAAAGAATTCTGCTGGTAGTAATGGTTAAGGGGGAAAACCTTTCCTTAGCACCTTCTACACTGCTAGTTCCATCGAGGCTATTATGCTGTGAAGCAACTGATCAGCTATTCCTTTGGGGCCCACAATTATTTTTAATGTGGCCCTTTCTTCTCTATATGTTGTGTCAGCCTTCTCTACAAGCTGAAAATTGTTGCAGAAAGACACTATTGGACAAGTTTTCATAGAAACGTGTCAGCCATTATAGGTATTGCAATGGGAAAAACACTATAAGCTTCTCAAGAACCTCGTGCTTCTCTAGAAATTGCTGATGTGGAAGATAATTTATGCTGTGATAGGAAACAGAGTTTGAGGAAGTAACATTTCAATAATTGCCTGATGTCTCAAGGGCCAAGTCAAAAGAACTAAAAAACCAGCACTTGTTTAACAGTCAGATTGAGAATACTGCTGCAAACCAATTCTATTATATTCTGCTTTAAAGAAATTAGTTTCTGTTGGTTTTCCCTAACTCTCATGTTTAAATATTCACAATAATTGTAAATAGAGGGAAAAGGTTAGAGTAAGAACTACAAAGGTGAAAAAGATAAGGAAAAATAATAAGCTAATATAAAAATTCTATGTACATAGAATTGACCACAGCTATAATCTATAATATAAACATTGTTCTTTTATCCCTGTGGTTGTGAAAGATATCTTTCCCAGAGCTGGCCATCAAGAACAATGGGACAAGAAAGAGATTGAGGTTTGAAGGTGATTGTATTTCTCAGCAAAGCTATTTAGGTGCCTGGACAGGAGCATCTGTCTGGTAGGCAAAGTGTGCAGACAAGGGAATCATTATTTGGATCCCTAAAGTCCATCACCAAAGGAAATGGAACTGGCAACAAACAGTAATCGATGATCATGGTACCTTCCCATGATTATGACAATTTTTTTTACTGATTCATTTGCAATAAAAGTGAAGGGGGATAGATAGAAACTGAATGGCAAGAGTGAACTATCAGAGATTTTAGGAGAGGAAGGGAAGTTTTTATACTAGTTAATAGCAGTTTACTCTAGGTAGCACCAACCTGATGCAAGGATGCGGCATAGAAGGGTGGTATAAATATAGAGCCACAATATTTCCAAAAGGAAAAAAAAGTATTGTGATTTTTTTTTTGGAGAAAAGTGACATATGATTGATGTATGAATGACTGTATTATGTACAGCATGAGGATGTATATCTGTTCCTTTTGTGATTATTTTCAAAAACAAAGCCTACTATGATAGATCAAAGGCCAACCACTGTGTGCCAGTGCCTCCAAAGCATAAAGATGATTCCATTTTCTGAATAGAAGGGAAACCCCCCTCCCCCAAACACAAGAGGAACAAAGGATCAATTCTCAATTGACAAGATGATTCTGGAAAACTGCAAGAGGTGGTTGATCAACTTGAATGTAGTATGGATTGATTTCAACTCACTTCACAAAACTGAATAATCAAGTACCTAGAAATAATAGGTATCAGTAGAAACATCACAATTTTTCTGCAAAGATAGATGGCACAATGAATATGGTTACTGATCAATGTTGATAGATGGGAGAGGTTACATTGGGACATAGTTTTCAAAGAGACTTACTATCACCACTACTGTTTGTCATTGCACGGATTCCTCTGTTAACCATACTGAACAAAGTCAGACCATGGCTATCAAACATCAAAAATATCTGCCAGGCTATCCCACCTCTTTTACATGGATGATCTGAAGCTGTATGGAAGAACACCATCTGAAATGGCTGCTGCTTTTTCTGCTCTACGCTGTTCAAGATATTGCAATAGAATTGGACTACCGTGTTTCTCATATAATAAGGCCGGGTCTTATTTTTGAGCCCCGAAAAAATGGCTAGGCCGTCTTTTCAGGGGTGACTTAATTCCCCCCCCCCCTTGCATCTTCAGGCAGGTGGGCGGCGACGGCTTGGATGTTGACCTCGGCGTTGGTGGGGCTCTTCATATCGGGGTCAACGCAGGCAGCACCATATCTGGGTGTGCAACAAAAGTACTTCCTAACGGCAAGCCCCCCCTACCATTCCCCCATTTCGCATGTTTTAATATAGGCCTTAATTTGGGGGGAGGGGCTTATAAAACATGCTGGGACTTCCTATTGGGGGAGGCCGTACTGTTGGAGAAACAGGGTAGACAAATGTTTCATGCCTACCATTAAATGGAAAAAATAGTGAAAACTGAAGGAATCAAGATGCCCTATGTCTAAATGAAGACAGTTACAAATATTCTTCAGGCTGACATCAAGCACACTGAAGTCAAGAAAAGGGTTAGAGATAAATATATCAAGAGAATGAAGAAGATCTTAATATCCAAACTTAGTGGGGAAAATACCATCAAGACATTTAACCACATTGGCAGTTCCAGTCATTAGATACACAGCTGGGAGAATGGACTGGACTCAAGCAGAACTAAAAGCCTGGGATAGGAAAACTAGAAGAATAATGACAATAACTCATGCCCCTCATTCTCACAGTGACTTTGACAGATATTCTGCCCTGGAAGAATATCTGAAAGGTAGTGAAGGAGATGCTCTGAAACTAGTATATCAGGAAGGCTTACTGAGTACCCGAGAAACCAAACTGGCCTATAAGAAGGACCAAATGAAGAACAGAAAACAAACATGGAAAGACAAAATATTACATGGCCAGTATGTTAAAAAAAATAGCAGGCTAAAAGTAGATAAGTTGCAGAAAGAGTCAGAGGTGCTAATTCTGGCTGCACAAGATCAAATATATACAAAGACAGAACTGATAAAGTGGCTTTTTTGGAAAGAAGCTGAAGAAACAATCAACCACTTGGTTAGCCGCTGAAAGAAGATTGTTTAGACTGACTACAAATAACAGCATGACAAAGTACCACAATGGTACATTGGAATATCTGCAAGAAGTACCATTTTATTTTCAAGCAAGAACTAGTGGGACCATAAAATAGGTAAATAATATAAAATAAAGAAGCTAAATTGCTCTGATATTTTAAATTTCAGATAGGCACCTGCCACATAACACCCCAGACTTAATAATTGTCAATAAGAAAGACAAAATAATCTGAACAGTTTACATGGCAGTACCTCAGAGAGTAAAATAGAAGAGAAACAGCTAGAGAAAATAACAAAATACACACCATGGGTGCAATCCCAAAATAACCGGTGCACCACTTGAACAGCAGTGACATTGACAATATCACCATTGGCCAGTTACAAAAGGCAGCTTTACTCAAACAGCTTAGACTTATACCTTTAACACCATCAAACATCCACAACTATCTATCACAGATCTTTGGAAGGGCTTGATAGGTTGATAAAAATGCCAAATAAGGTCTTAAACGTCTAGCAGATTGTGCAACAAGCCAATAATAATTACTATTATGAATAGCAATCTTTTTACTTTGTGGCTCCATTTATATTATAGCTAATAAATATAGTTTTGCTTTTAATAGACAATTGTTTTTAAAAACAACCTATACGTGTATAACCTTGTAATCAAGTGTTGTCCCATGTGTAAGGTAAAATTCTATGTATGTAATGTAGCTCTCTTTCAAGAGACTTAAATGTTTCATATTAAATGATGATAATTACCATAAAAGCGACAGTAAATAGCTAAACATCCTAAGGCTGTGAACAACATCATTTATTAATATTATTAATTACTTTTCTACATTATGACACAGTTCTCAATTTTTTAAAAAACATTTGGTTATAAGTTGAGTAAAGTAGAGTAGAACAAACTTAGCAAAGTAAATCTATCAGGTAAACCATTCTGTTAATTCAACTTTAAAAAGGCTTGATACATAAGAATATTTTAGTATTTAAATTTAATGACAAATTACTCTGGGAACCAATTGGAATCATGCAGCCACTGCAGAAAACCCTTTGTCATTAATCATTATGCAAAAACAGACATAAAAAAGACCTGCCTAATAATTTGAAGTTTGCTTTAGGCAAATATATTTTTCTGTTACTTCTGTATGGCTTATTCTGTTAGAGGTTGCTAACTTCTAACAACAGAATTCAAGATTTTTCTAGAGTCTAGACTTATTCCAGTATTCAATAAATTATGGGCTGTTAATCAATAGGAATGTAGAACCTTACTTACAGAATCCAAATTCGGTACTCAAACTTTCAGCATCCTGTGCCTTCAGGTTCATGTTGACTTCTGGTAATTGCTTGAACTAGTTCCTGCAGTTTTCTCAAATTCTGACATAATGTTCCCATTCTTGACAGCCTTTCCTGCTGGTTCTTAAAATTCTGCAGTGTTTTTTGTTGTTGTTGTTATTTAAATTTGCAGTTGGTCTATGTTGAAGAACAAACTATTCCATAGCTGAATTTTTAGCAAAACCAACCAACCAATTTTAGAGGCACTCTAAAATTGCAATAGTTCCATTTCAAATTGCTCAGTAACCAACTCTATTATTTCTCCCTTACCATTTTTTTGCTTAGTTGTTTTAATTATCTACTCTTGGCAGTATAGAATGAGGTGATAATAATATTCCATCTTAGAGCCAATATGAAATTCAAGAAATTTGGTTTCTAATAGTGCTTTCTATATCTTTTCCTTCATTATCTAAAACCTCTTATTAGAAAGTCCTTTTTATCATTTATCAGTAAGTTGTATCTCTGTTGTGATTGGTTAATATGTCACTACTCAAACAAACATTTTTATCCAATTTTGGGTAATTTACCCAAGCTTAGGAAGTATATGCAATTCCAGTCTGTATTTTCCATGGAGATTCTTTGCACTTAACTTACAAATTTTCTTCCATTACACAGACCTGATCTGCAAAGGGTTATGAGCACCTCCTGATAGCTGAGCATTTTAAGATTACTAGGAGAGATGCAAGAATTATATAGTCATTTTACTGTGCTAGAATTATTAGAACAACCTAAGCCTGCTACTGCTTATCCATCTTTTTCCCTTGAACTTACTGATTTTTAAATTATACTATTTTAAATTATTTTTAAAAAACTTGATTCTTAACCAAAATAAATAACATTGTCCAACCTACTAGATACAATTTATTCTTAATGTATCAATCTACAGAAGTTGTAGGACTTTATCACCTCTCTATCTGTTAAGACAAGGACAAAATATCCAGAAAATTGTAAAGTATCATTTTGGATTCAAGCAGTTAAGAAAAGAAAAATTCCCAACTCTATGTTTCAATGTTTCAACTAATTTGCAATGACTTGGATTACTTTTGTTTTATCCCTGCAATATATCCACTGATATATAAAGAGAGATTTTTGCACTGAATCTCCTGTAGACTATGAGGTCAGGAAAACCAGGTGACACAAGAATGGCCTCAGTCAGTCAGTCAGTCTGACTGCCTGTCTGTCTCTCTCTCACACACACACGCACATTTATCTGTCTATCATCTCCAAATTCACAAATAGGTTGTATAATCAAGGGAAATCAAATAAGCCTCTTCTTGCGTTATTCCCAGAATGAAACCATTAGAGAAAAAGGAAACTTTTGATTCCCAAGAAGTTACAGTCAAATTGCTTTAAGGTTCAGACTTAATTCAAAAAGTACATCACTTCCAGACTCTTCTTCTCACTATCAATTAATTTTGTTAGTTCAATGCAATATGTGGCTTCACCTATCTATTGGCTGCTTTTATTTATTAATTAAATTTATATGTCACCCATCTCACAGTCAAATGACTCTGGATGACTTGCAACACCGAAAAATTACAATAAAATCAAAACATTAAGCTTTAAAAATTGAAACATTAAAAGTTAATAAAAGCAAGATAAAAAAGGGACCAACACATAAATGGGATGGAGCTGCGATCTTCTTCTAATCTACTAAACATCTCTAACGTGAAGCACCTCCATCAGGGCCCCAAGCCAGTTGGCAGATCCAGAATTTCAGGCCCTTTTGAAAAGCCGAGAGGGTGAGGGAGGATCTCTATCACTTCAAGGGGTACGATGTTCCAAAGGGCAACAACCATGGCAGAAATGGTTCTTATCCTGAACATCAGCTGAAATGTCTTGGCTGATGGGTCTGAAGATGCACCTACTGCCAGAGCAAGTGGGGCAGGCCAATCTCATTGGGATATGTTTTAAAATATATGAAAGCTTTATAATACTCATCATAATTACATTCCTACTGCATTTTGTTTACATTAACTTATTTATAGTGGTGCTTTTATTTTGCTACTGTATATACAAATTAAGATAATGAGGTTACTTAGAAATCTACTGAATAAACACAATGAGCCATAACTAAACCAAATTGGTTAACTTAGTTCTCATATATATATAGCTATGAAGAATATAACATGATTTCCTTAACATCCAGGCTATTAATTATTTCTATCAACTGGAACTTCAATTTGTCCAAATAACAGATTAGATAGTAGTAGAAATTAACATCAAAATTATTTGTTTTTTCCATCCTACTAGAGCAAGGAGCAAATATGGCAATTGTGATTCTACTTTTGTCTTTCGTTAATTCTTTCTATATAATATTCCATTTTTCATTTCAAAGGGAAAGATAAACAGGTTAACATATAGATCATCCATTATTCATTTGTTAACATTAGTTTGCTCAGAAAATAGAAGTTAGTATCATTCATTGAAAACAGTACTGCTCTCAAGCAGACAAATAGTGGTATAATTACCACTGTAAAATATAGCAAGCAAAATCTGGAATAGGTAAATGGAGAAAGGCAGTTTCATCAATGAATTAATAATCCTAGTACTGTAGTTAAATGGATCCTCAACATTCAGAAATATTACATCAGATAAAGAAGCAAAAGTGCAAACCTCTTGAAGACATCTACTGCCTGCTGTGAAAACAGGAGACCAGAATAGATACTGCATCTGTCTTTGTTGAAGATGTTCAAGCACAATTGACCCCAACTTGAAACCTTCATGGTCCTATACTGGATGGGAATTTTTGGAGTTGCAATCCTATTGAATTGCGGGGGAGGTAGTGCCAAGAAAATGGAAACATGACTGTTTTTAAAGGATATCAGATACACAATTTTAGAATTTGTGACGATTGACTATATCTCTATTGTTTTGATCTTTTGAAATACATGGAAAACAAAATTCCAAGGAAACAAAGAGTGCTTTGCATTACCTATTATGGGAAATCAGTAGAAAAGTAAAGTCGATTTAGCGTATTATTCTGGAACTCTGTGATTCCGCCCATCAATTAGAAAGCCACACGACAGCTATATCATTATATGGCTATCATTATCATGGCATCTTAAAAAACCCCTGTGACCTTTGCATCTCTCTTTAGGTGTTAGCTTAAGCATTCTATCTGTAGGTGTGGGGCATAATATGTTGAACATGATGGGCTATGTGTAGGCATCCTGCTCTTGCTGTATTTCTATAGCTACCACGCATAGATCCAGTGTATGTGTCCTGTTTGACCTTGGAGTCTATAGATCAACAGGGTGAATTATGCAATGAGCAAACAAAGAAGACTGAGATAAACATTGGCCTAGAATAGTTATATTCTAGAGTGAAAATGGCTAACTCAGAAAGTAGAGGATAGTTTTGCTGCTACCGAACTCCATACAGTGCTAAGGACATGTTCTGTGAGGATAAAGAGACAGATCAAACTAGAAAAACTCACCGTATTGAAATTAGGAAAGAGGTTGAGTGGTGGGGTGCCATTGAGGCGGAAAGTCAGAAAATGCTTGATATCCAGGGATGGATGTAAAGACCGTCCTGGGATGGGAAGTGAGGCTAAGAGGGAGCTGTTGTGATTAGCTGGACCTAGGAATCAAGAACAGAACAGAAATAAGGCATATGTTTCAAAAGATAGAGCTAGGAGAGGCTGGCTAATATTGTTCCTTAAAGCAGACCTTCCAATGTGGTGTACTGCAAGAAAGTGGCTAATTCGTTATGAGAACTAAGAGCCAAATTCTAATCCCACTTCTTATAGTACATGCTTTCATTCAGGGGTGAGATTCAATTTTTTTAACAGCCAATTCTGTGGGCATGGCTAGGTAGCCGTGGCCATGTGACTGGGTGGCCATGGGCTGTTTTTTGTGGGGGGCAGCCCCCAGTTCTTTGGGCCTTCTGGGCCTCAGGGAAGCCTCCTGGGGACATTTTTGCTCCCAGAAGGCTTCCCTGCTCAGGAAGAAAATAAATGGAGCACAGTGGGGAGGTGCAGTGGGGTCCCCCTCCATTTTTTGCCTTCCTGGGTTTCAGGAAAGCTTTCTGGGTGAAGCAGTAAGTCAATGAGGGGCATCCCGGCACAGCTGATGGTCGGGAAGGAAAAAAAGAAATACATTAAGGAGTACCTGGGCAGGGAAAAACCCAGTCAGCGATATTGGGCATGTGCATGATGTTGCGCATGCACGATAAGGATTGACTGGGTGGGGAGGAGCGGGCGGAGAGGGCAGGGGCCAGCCAGGGTCATGATTTGCCAGTTCTCTGAACTGCGTAGAAAGGGCATTGGTACTTACCTGATATGCCAGTTCTCTTTGAGCTGTGAAGAGCATCCAGTAGTGGGGGGTGCTTCAGTCTCTGCACGTCTAGGCTGGACAATTTCTGGAACGCTCCTCCTCCTCCATGGGACTCCTCCTCAGCGCTCCCCAGTTTTGGCGAAGATGAGAGAATAAACACCACTCGCCCTGAATGCCTTAACAATTCGTTGGCAGAAACGGGACCCCACCAGACGGAACAAGGGGTGGGGCTGGATGCTCTTCACAGCTCAGAGAGAACGGGTGTATTAGGTAAATACCAACGCCCTTTCTCCTATGAGCTGTTCAGAGCATCCAGTAGTGGGACATACCAAAGCTTGGCCTGTCCTATGGGAGGGACTCAGTCTGGCTTGGAATTCCCTCCTGGTCCCCGTGGACCCGTTGCAGAACTCGTCTGCCAAAGGAGCCCTCAGCGGATGCAAACACATCTATTTTATAATGCCTGATGAAGGGCAATGGAGAGGCCCAGGTTGCGGCTCGACAAATATCAATTATTGGTGCCTGCATGGCCCACGCTGCCGATGTTGCTGCGCTCCTTGTTGAATGAGCTGTTATGCCCCTGGGCACCTGTAGTGATTGAGTCTGATACGTTTTCGCTATCGCAGCCCGTAGCCAACGGCCTACTATGGAGGAAGAGACCTTGCATCCCTGAGTGTTTGGCTGAAATGACACAAATAAAGCTTCCGTCTCCCGGAAAGTTGCTGTGCAGTTAATATATATTCGCAATGCTCACCTCACATCAAGCCGATGCCATTGTAGTTCCAACCTTTGAGATGGCCTGGGACAAAAGTTAGGAAGTATCAGCTCTTGTGCCCTGTGAAACGCTGAATTAATTTTGGGTATAAACGTAGGATCAGGACGAAGGACCACCCGGTCAGAATGGAAGACACAAAGGTCTTTTCTGATCGACAAAGCTGCCAGTTCCGAAATACGACGAGCGGAAGTGATCGCTACAAGGAAAACCACTTTATACGTCAGAAATTGGAGACTTGACAATTTCAAGGGTTCGAAAGGGTACTTAGTGAGGGCAACGAAGACCTTGTTAAGGTCCCAAGTGGGATAACAGTGAACTGCTGGCGGGTGTAAATTTGTGGCTCCTCGAAGGAATCTCCGTATGCGTGGGTGATGAGAAAGTAGACCTTCAGAAGTGACAACCGATGTCAAAGCTGCCACCTGCCTTTTCAACGTATTAGGTGATAATCCCTTGTCAAGCCCCTCTTGTAGAAACTCTAGGATTTGAGCCACTGATGGATAGATGGGATCAGTTTGAGACTTAGTACACCATTTGCAGAAACTGGACCACGTGGCATTGTAGATACGAGTCGTTGAGAGGCATCTGGCAGCTTGGATGGTAGCAATAACTCTGTCGGAAAACTTTTCGCTCTTCAGACGTCTCTGCTCAACCTCCAGATGGTCAGGTGCAACCATTGAGAGTCTAGATGTTGAAGGGGTCCTTGGATTAGCAAAACCCTGTCCGACAGAATTCTCCATGGTGTTGATAAGGATAGACTGCGGAGGTCTGCAAACCCCGGCCGTCTGGGCCAGTAAGAAGCTATTAGCAGCAGCTCCGCCCTCTCGTCCAGCAGCTTCTGGATGACCTTGGGGATCAGAGGAAGTGGTGGGAATGCATACAGAAGACCCTGGGGCCAACGGCAGCGGAGCGCGTTGAAGTTCTCCGCTTCTTGCGAGGGGTACCTGGAAATGAATCTGGGGAGTTGAGAGTTGAGGGGGGAAGCAAACAAGTCTACCACCGGCTGCCCGAATCTCCTGACCGCCTCTTGAAACAGGGTCAGATGGAGGCGCCACTCCGATTGATCGATCGTGGCCCTGCTTAGCCAGTCTGTCTGTGTATTTGACAGGCCCAAAATGTGTTCTGCTCTGATGGAAAGTAGATTGCTCTCCGCCCAACGACACAAGCGCTCCGCTTCTCGCATGAGGTGTTTCGACTGTGTGTCCCCCTGTTTGTTTATGTGAGCTTTGGCTGTTACGTTGTCGGTCAATATTAGTATGTGTTGATTGCGTACCTGTGGAAGGAAGCTGCAGAGAGCCAGGTATACTGCTCGAAGCTCCAGCCAATTTATGTTGCACGACTGTTCTATGGCAGACCAGCGGCCTTGGGTTGTGAGCGATTGAACGTGAGCTCCCCATCCAAACAGGCTGGCATTGGTGGTGATGGTAAGTCTGTGTGGCTCTTCGAAGAGGCAACCTCTGTTGATGACTGGTCTGGTCCACCAGAGGAGAGATATGAAGACCTCTGATGGTACCTTGACCTTGTATTTGGAGTTGCTTCAGCCGGAGCGCTGGTACGGGAGCAGGAACCACTGGAGGGATCTAGTGTGGAGCCGTGCCCAAGGGATGATAGATATACATGAGATCATCTTGCCTAACAATTTTGATAGTTCAGCTAGGGACACCCTCTTAAGACCCCTGATCTCCATAACTAATTGCTGAATGCTATTTAGTCTATCTGGTGACAGGTAAACTTTGCCTTCCACCGTATCTATGACTGCCCCCAGATG